CGCACGATGTAACTCTGCGGCAAGTGCTCGCACACACGCAGGGCATGTGATGCGCCAGCGCGGGCCCCTTCTGCCCCCCGCTTCGTCGCCCCTTGTCGTGCCTCGCCGCTGCTCCCTTCTCCGCGCTCTCCTCTTCTGGGGGGCTCGCTGGTTTTTCCAACGCCCACGTACGCAGCAACGGCGCCCCAGTGCTCGCTGCTGGTGCGCCCGGGCCCCCTGTGGAAGGAGGGCCGATGCCCTCGCCCTGCCGTGGGGCCGCATGGGCCTGTGCGCTTCTGCGACCGCCGGGGCCATCGGGGCATTCCCAAAGCACAGTATATACACAAAGTGAGGGACCACGGATTGCTTCTCTGAGTCCAGCTTCAGCAGCAGCAGCAGCTTCTCCTTCTCCTCGTTGTCCTCCTCCTCCGCCTCCTCCTCACCTGACCACCACCACCGTAATCATCATCACCACCACCACCACCATCATCATCACCACCACAACCACCACCATCATCATCATCATCATCATCACCACCACCACCATCATCATCATCATCATCATCATCATCATCATCATCATCATCTTCATCCTCATCAACAACAGCAACACCAACATCATCATCACCACCAACACCATCATCAGCATGATCATTATCAACATCATCATCATCATCATCAGCATCATCATCATCATCATCATCATCATCATCATCATCATCATCATCATCGTCAACATCATCGTCAACATCATCGTCATGGTCGTCGTCATCGTCGTCGTAATCGTCGTCACCGCCGTCGTCGTCGTGGTCGTCGTCATCGTCGTCACCGTCATCATCATCAGCATCAGCAGCATCACAATCAGCATCATGATCCTCATGATAAGCATAATACTGGTCTGCATCATCACCACCAGCATGATCATCATCGCCAGCAGCACACCACCACCATCACCATCATCAGCAGCAGCATCATAAACATCATCATCCTCATCATCATCACCATCATCATTATCGTCATCATCGTCATCGCCATCATCATAATCATCATCATCATCATCAGCATCATCATCAGCATCAGCATCATCACCACCACCATAACCATCACAATCACCATCACAATCATCATCATCATCATCATCATCATCATCATCATCATCATCATCATCATCATCATCATCATTATCATCCTCATCTGCATCATCATCATCATCATCATCATCAGCAGCATCATCATCATTATCATCGGCATCCTCATCATCATGATCATCATAATCGTCATCATCGGCATCCTCATCATCATGATCATCATGATCATCATCATCATCATCATCATCATCATCATCATCATCGTCATCATCATCATCAGCATTATTGTCATCATCATCGTCATCCCCCATTCTCCTCCTCATCCTCCTCCGCTGCAACTTCCTCCTCTTCATCCTCCTCCTCATCTTCCTCATCACCACCATCATCATCATCAGCAGCCACCCCATTACCACAGCCACCACCACCATCATCACCATCATCACCATCATCATCAGCATCATCATCACGTCTCGCACCTCCGATCGTCACTTTTTGCTCGCCCGAGCCGCGAGCTCCTCTGCACCGGGAGAGCGCTGGCCGCTCGGAGCTTCGCGCCCTCGGCCGCCGCGCTCGGGTCGCCTTGGGCGGGCCCTCGCGGGCACCGCACGCACGCGCGCCACGCGCGTTCTCTCTCGCACGTGGAGATGCGTCGCCGCTACAGCTGATGGGCGAAATCTCTGGGCCATCAGCTCAGTCGGGGCATCTGCGCACACCCTGTTTGGTTACCGCGGCCTCGCGCGCAACGACGCGGCGGAGCCAGGCAGTGTCGGGGCGAGGGCGTGCCGGGCCCTCGCGCGGCCACCGGGCGGGGGTGGCGCGGGGCTCATCCACGGCGCACCACTGCTCCGAGCAGGCGCACACGCGCGCACAACCATTCTAGGGGGCCGTATGCGAACCCTACCCCTGCCCCCCACGATTTCTGAGGGGGGGGGGGGTCGCTTCGCTGGGGAGCTCCCGAGCGAAGCGAACCCCATCCTCCCCCTCAGAAATCGCGGGGGGTAGGGGTAGGGTTCGCATGTGGCCCCCTACACACACGCACACACCTTGTACGTCGGCGGCTAGGCAGAGCAGCTGCGCTGCCGGAGGAGCAATGACAACGGGGATGCCGTTGATGCGACTTATGCCACTATGCAGAAAAATGGAAAGAGACAGGTACACACACACACACTTTGTAGCGGAAGTGAACTCGCGCGCGGCGACGAGGCGGAGTCAGTGGCAGTACCAGGCGCGGGAACGCGGCAGGTTTCTCACGGATCGCTGTGGATCCTGCAGCACGTATCGCCGTACAGCACATCCAGGCACGGATGGCATCGAGGGGTGGCGCGCCAGCCGCTGGCCCTGCCCGATGCGGCGTCAGGAGCCGAGGAGGCACGCCACACAGCACAGCCAAGCGTGGATGGCAGGGAGGTGGCACGCATACCGAGGGACCTGCCGATACGTCAGCACGAGGGGAGGAGGGAGGTGCGGCGAACAGCACACCTGGGTGTGCCAGCAGAAGGAGTTCGCTCCAAGCTGCAAGAGCGAGACGCAGGCGAGCGAGGCGCGGGCAGCGGCCTGGGGCCAAGGGAGGGAGGGGCGCGAGGCAGCGCAGGAAGCGTGGGACGAGAAGAGGCAGCGCCGTCTCTGGAGCCTTATTGCGCCGCGCCCGCCGGCCCCGCCTGGCGTGCGGGCGCGAGGCGGGCCGCTCGCGGGGAGCCGCAGCACTCTCTGACAGGCCAGTGGACCTGCCACCGGAGGGGGCCAGAGAGGGTGCGGCCCGCAGAAGCGGGAGTGGAATGGAGTGGACGAGCTGGCAAGAGGAAGTCGACTGGGAAGTTACACGGGGTCAGGTTGTCAGAGAGTGTGGGGTGGTCGCAGTTGCGGGCCAGTCAGAGGCGCCACTTCCACTGCGTACGAATGTAGGCCGCGCCCTCGAACTGCCCGTCGATCCACGAGGCGACCTGGGCAGCCACGGTGCGCTGGGCCTCGCAGGGCGCCGGCGGGCCCGGAGTGCCGCTGCCACTGGGCGCGGCTGGCAGCTTCGGGGGGGAGGGCGGCGGCATGGAGCAAGGGGCTGGCCCAGCGGCCTTGCTTGCGATGCCGCTGGGCGGCGAGGGAGGCGGCGGCGCGGGGCTGGGTGCGGGCTGAGCGGAGGCCGGTGCCGCGCCGCTGCGGGCCGACGGCCAGGCACCCATGGCTGGGGGGCCGTGGGGGTCGTCGGAGGCGCGGCCGCCCCGATGCCCGACGGCAGGTGGCGGCGGAGGCGGCGGGGGCGGCGAAGCGAGCTGGCTGCGGCGCCCCAGTGAGCGCGGGCGGCGGCGGTGGCGCCGTCGGTCGTGGGGCCCGAGTGGACCGTTGGCAGCCGCCCCGGAGAAGGCAGGCAGAGGCTGGCCTGGCTGGGGCCGGCGGCTTGCCCCGCGGAACCGGGGGCTGGCCGCGGCGGCCTTCTCTGCGGCCGCCTCGCGGGACATGGGAGCGCCCCTGTGGGTCCTGCTGGCTCGCGGATGGGAGCGGTGCCCTTGCGTAGGCTGACAGGTCTGGCGGCGCGCTGCCGCACCAGGACAGTCTCGTCGGGTGAGGTGCTGGGGGGCTTCCCACGCCAGGTGGGCGCTTCGGGGTGGGACCGGGAAGCCGCGGGACACTGGCCGCGCGTGCGGGAGCCAGGCGGAGCGTGCCATGGGTGGGGGGGCTGCCCACCGCTGCACCCGTGCGGCCAGGGGAGAGGGGGGGGGTCGTCTGGGCGGGCCGCTCCCCACATGGGCGCGTGCGAGCTCGCTGAGCCGCCCTCTGGAGAGGCGGTGGGCGAGGTCCCGCCTCTGTTCGCGGCCACAGAGCCGCCACTAACGAAGCGGAGAGGAATCAAGGCTCGAGGAGCCGCGGGTCGGGGTGGAAGAACGGCTCGCCGGAAAGGGCAACGTGGATGAGGAACTCGCGCCACGTGCCCAGCTTTCCGAGAATCTGCCGAATGTTTTGGACGCACGTGAGGAGGTCGGCAGGCGGGTAGGCTTCTGCTGGGGCGTACCCGCGGGGCTGCCCAGAGTCGGGCACGTGGGTCGCCGGTTGGTTAGCACCCTGTCGCGCCCTGGATCCGTAGGCGATCGTAGAGCGCTACAGAAAGGCACGCCAGCATCAAGCCTGTGGTGAAACCCCCATCTGCACCCAGCCCTGGACCACGAGCACCAGGTCGTGCCGCAAGAGTTCGCTGATGGGTGACCGGGCGGGCCTGGCGAGAGGCCCCCGGGTCCGCGGAGAGGGCCGGGGGGGCGCGTCCGCGGCGGGGTCCTCTGGCGCAGCGCCCGAGGCGGCGCCGCTGGCTGGCTCGCGAGCATGGCTGGGAGAGGAGGAGCGGCTGGCCCTAACGGCTGGCGGAGCGCCGGAGACGCCGTGGAGGGGCGCGAGGCCTGCCCACCTGCCCCCCCTGGCGCGCCCGAGGCGGAGGCTCAAAAGGGCCCGCAGCGCCGCGGGGGGCGCCGCAGGACCCCTCCTTCGCTGGCGAGCCGCGGGAGGACCTGCGGAGGGCGCCAACAGCTGCGTGGTGCGGGCGCCGCAGCGCTCGGTTCGAAGGGGGGGTCGACTACAGAACTCATTCCTACCACGAGAGGACTGCTCTCGTCGACACTCGACCCAGATGCGTTCTACGCATGGCTCGTGGACTCGAAGACAATTCTGGGGCACATCAAGTATCTAATTGGTCGATCCCCTACTCGATCAGTGACGCTCTGGGCTGGCTCGCCCAGGAGGTCGCGGAAGAAGACGCGCCTGAGAAGGAGCGTGGGCCCGCTGCGGTGCTTCGGGCCCTCGCGCCCCTTGGCGCCCCCCGGTCGGCCACGGGCCCCTTGCATTGGAGGTGCGCAAAGGTCCGCTGGCGGCTCTCGTCCTCGCCCATGGCGGCGAAGACGCGCGCAGGCGCAGGGCCCGCGCCGCAGACCCCTTCGCGCTGCGATACTAAAGCACGACGCGAGATGTTGCGCTGTTTTCGGCCGCCGGGGGCCCTGACCGGGCCTCGGGACCGTCCAACATCGACTCGGGACGAAAAACCGGTTCCGGGTGCAGACCTCTTGGGACCAACGTTTTGAAAGGATCACGACGTCGGGGGTCTGGGTCTGGGTTGTCTGGGCGGCTGGCGGGAGAGCCCTGGAAACCTGCCCCTGGGGCCGTCGACAGGGGCAGAGCCGCGCCACGCTGCTGAGATGCCGTCGTCCCCGAGCGGCGAAGAGACGAGCTCGATCCATCGCTCCGTGAGGAGATGGTGGAGCAGCCGCGCGGGGACGTTGGGGTCCTTGGGGCTGTTGGGCGGCGCCTGGGCGGGATCCTGGACGGCACATATCAATCGGTTGGCGAGTTCGACGAGCTCCTCCCTGCTGAGGGCGGAGAGGGGGCTTCTGGAGGGCCTGGAGCTCGCGGGTGCTGTCCATGCGGCTGCACCTGCGCGCGTGCGCGTGGCCTCGCTGTCTAGCAGGTAGCGCCGCCGCGGAGGCGCCGGACGCCCCGGAACAGGCGCGTCCACAGGGCTATGCTGCCCCCGTCGTACTATGAGGCCTCATCCCAAAACAACTGTCGAGCACCCAGAGAAGTATCGAAACAGTGCCGAACGAGTACCGCCTCCGAAGCCCGACACGTAAGTAAACACACTCCAGATTCTATACTTTCCTGGTGCTCGAAGTTCTTTCGGGTGATCAAGGCTATAGTAGGTTGGAACATCAGAAGGCCAGAGGGGTCCAGCGGGGCTACCCCAGCCGCACCCCCTCGGCGCGGGGGCGCGCGGGCGGCGCGGGCGTCGGCGAGCGGGGGCAAGGGGGCTCAGGGAGGCGGCGGGGCCAAGGCTGGCCGCAGCGGTGAGCTAAACGCGTTGGGCGCGCGGCCCGAGGGGGCCGCGCCGCTCGCAGCCTCAGGGCCCGTGCCACGGCCAGACACGCACGCACGCACGCACGCACGCACGCACGCACGCACGCACGCACGCACGCACGCACGCACGCACGCACGCACGCACACACACACACACACACACACACCTACACACCTGCAGGCCTACACGCACACGAACGTTTTCTCTCTGGCGCGCCGATGAGCTGCAGTCGGCGGTTCTCAAGATACGCAGGCGGGACGCGCTGAGCTTGAGTTCGCCACCTTGTGTGGGAGCGACACTGCAACTGAGACCTCGGGGGAGTCGAGCCGAATCGACCGCTGATCCGAGACAAAAAAACGAGCGCAGTATGAAAACAGGGGAGAAACACACGAAAGCCATAGCCCCGCAGGGGGGCGCTTCTATTTGAAAACCCTGTTAGAACAGGTGGAAAGGGGGATCAACAATAAAAGCATTACTCTTCAGGAGCGAAAGCTCAACAACAACAACAACAGCATTAAAACGAACAACTGACCCTCGAACGCCGATCTGGGAACCTCGGCCTCCACCTCGTCCTCCTCCTTTTCCTCCTCCTCCTCCTTCTCCTGAGTCTCCTCCTGAGTCTCCTCCTCCTCCTCCTCCTCCTCCTCCTCCTCCTCCTCCTCCTCCTCCTCCTATTCCTCCTCCTCCTCCTCCCCCCCCTCCTCCTCCGCTCCTCTTCATCCTCCTCCTCCTCGGGGCAGGCGGGGCAGCCCCTTGTGGCGCACCGCCACAGAGACGTTGGCGGGCACGTCCACATCCACAGCCTCGCGGTCCAGACCCCTCCGCCGCGACGCCCGTGCACGCGGGGCGGCCGGTGGAAGCAGACGCCCAGACCGCGAGGACCTGGACGCGGAGGTGCTCGTCGCTCGTGGCCTTCCGCGCGCAGCCGAGGGGCAGGCAAAGGGAAGGCGGGGGGGGCAGCAGGGCGTCCTTGGCGGCCGGTCCGCCCGCCCTTGGCCTCGCCGTGCCCGCAGCGCCTGCGGAGCGCGCGCGGGCGCTGCCGCGGATGGGTGCCGATCGGACACGGGTGGTTCGCCTCCGCGCTGGGCTGTGCTCTCGACCCGGGTGGGTCCGGGCAGAAGTTTGCGGCAGCGTTCTGCAGTGCGTCTCCCCCGCTTTCGGCGGCGAGCGATGGGGGGGGGATTGAGGAGGAGAAGGCCCGCTCAGAAGGCGACGGGGCTTCTCAGAAGCGCTCTGGCCGTCTGAATGGTTTTCTGTATCTTCGGGGAAGGCTTAGAAAACTTTCAACAGAAGGCCTGGGGATTTCCGAGCCTTCTGAGAAGGCCCGCCACTTCTCACGTCCCCCCCGGGTTCGCCGCCAACCTCCCAGACCCCCCCGCGTTGCGGAAAAAAACGCCGCAAAAGGTTTTTGACAATTTTGGGCCTCTGGGGGCCCTTCCTGGGCCCCAACCCGTCATCAAACGGCTCATGATGAAGACCAGTCCCGCGGAAGGGGTCCAGACCTACCAGATACCTTCTGGGCAACAATGCAATTGCATAGAAAGATAGATGTGCACTCGACCATCGAAGACCCTGGACAAAGGATCGTGCCAATTTGCGGCATATGTCTAAGCCTTATCGGGCCCCGGGAGCCTCCAGAGGCCTCTCGGGGCCCATGGGGACCTCCAGGGTCGAAGATCTGGGGCGGCAGCAGTAAGCGGGTCACTTCCCAGAAGGAACCCTTACCTCTTGATGTTGACTGGCGCACCTATGTAAAATCTCACCCTTCTGCTCCTCCGTCTCCATTTGGGTTCAGGTCGGCGGTACCCTTCCGCTGGCGCTGCTGATGCTGGAAGCTGTTTAAACAGAATGCGCGCGGCGCGCACGCAAGAGCGAGCTGTGGAAGAACACATGTTGAACATTGGACAACGTGCTGCGCGAAGTCTCGCACGAAACGCCTGGAACGCCCTGCCGACACGTCAGATCGCGCGACGAGGAAGAATTTGTCACAATGACGACGGACGGTGTGGAGGAGGAGGATCGATCGATCGATCGAGCTCTCGGGCCTGTCTGGGGCTACTGGACTACGACTAGCACAGCGAGCCTTCAAAAACTGCAGTGCGGCCTAGCTGTGGTCACTTTCTGGACAGGGGGACGCGGGCGCCACGGGGCGCTCGGGCCCTACCTGCACCGACCTCCCCACGTAGGGGTCCGCGGGCAGGGTAGCACGCGCGTTTACTAGTGCCCTCTCGCGTTCTCCTCACTACCCCTTTCCTTCCCCCCTCGGCCCTTGCCTTTTCGTTTGGGTTCGGGGGGGGGTAGGTGCACTACATAGGACTCAGGGAAGCGTGGCCCATGGAGTTGGAAGAGGGGAGAAGCCTCGGTGGGCGGCGGAGGAGGAGGCCTACCTTCCCTGAGTAAATGTCGGAACCGCTCGCTGGTTCGAAAAGCCTGAGGCACTGCGATGGGGGCAGCGTCAGCTGAGCGCAGCTGCACTGAATGCTTGCGGTCGCTCTCATGGCCTTCGGCCTCACCCTCACTGTGGCCTTTCCCTGGCCCTTGCGTTTTGGTTTCCTGCTGCAGGACGTCCGCTGATGTCGCACAAAACTGATATGCGTCCGTCGGCCACTGTCTGATGTATGAGGAGGAGGAGGAGGAGGAGGAGGAGGAGGAGGAGGAGGAGGAGAGCCACCATACCCCTCCCCGTCCACATCCTGCTCCTCCCCCTGCTGCTCCCCCTTCTCTGTCGCCCCACTCCCCGTTCCCCGACGCGGGCTCCCGCGCCCGCTGGATCGCGTTCTCGCGGGGACTGGGGAAGGGGGGAGAGAGGAGAAGCAGGAAATAATGGTAACAAAGAGGGGCGTGGTATGGAGAAGCTACATGAGGGAAGGTGAAAACGGTTGAAACATGTTAGCCATGCCCAAGGGCAGTGATACGCCCAGCCCAACCGACGAGAACACACCAGTGGGCACTCCAGGCCAAGCCCAGAAGGCCCTGGCATGACATGCCCCCGCGCCGATACTGACTTCACTACGTTCGCAGACATTCACCGACAAGCTGCCGCTGTCCTCAGGCACCAATCCGCCATCAAAGCCTTAAGACAAGAGGGATACCATCAACAGAAACCCTGGCCGTGCGCCAACAAGGGCACCCCGCTGGGGTGCAAGTCGGCCCGCGTTCAAAAGCACTAGCAGCAGCTCTTCTCTAAAAAGCCCTGTGGGGACCTGGATCAAACCTCAGGGGGAGGCACAAGCAGCAGCAGTCCATCCGCTCCTGCTTCCTAATCCCTCCCCACTCGCCCCTCCCTTCCTTCTCTTGCTCCGCTCCGCCCTCTCGCCCAAGAGGTCTCCAGGTCCTCGGAAAGCCCAAAGCACCGAATATCCCCAGATACCTCCCCAAGCATCCAGCGGTCTCTAGGGCCCCAGGATGCCCCTCGCCTCCAACTCCTCCTCCTCCTCCTCCTCCACCTCCTCCTACTCCTCCTACTCCTCCTCCTTCCTCGGCTGCTCCTTTACCTACTTCTTCTTATCCTCCTCCTCTTCATCATCATCATCGTCCACCCTTCTTCCTCCTCCTCCACTTCCTCCTCCACCCTCCCTCTGCATCCTCCTCCTCTTCCTCCTCCTCCTCCTCCTCATTAGCGTCAGCATCATCAGCATCAGCAGCATCACCATCATTAGCATGCTGATGACCATCATCCTCATCATCCTCATCATCATCATCATCATCATCATCATCAACAGCAGCAGCAGCATCATCATCAGCAGCGTCATCACCATCATCATAATCCTCCTCCTCCTCCTCCTAATCATCAACATCATCATACTCGTCAGCAGCAGCAGTACCATCACCAGTATCATCACAATCGCCATCATCATGATCATCATGATCATCATCATCATCATCATCATCATCATCATCATCATCATCATCATCATCATCAGCATAAACAGCAGCAACATCATCATCATCAACATCATCATCATTACCAGCATCAGCATCAGCATCATCAGCATCATCAGTATCATCATAGTCACCATTATCAAAATCATCAGCATCATCATCACCACCATCAGCATCACAATTACCACCATACTCATCATCACCACCAGCATCATCATCATCATCATACTCAGTACCAGCACCATCATCGTCATCATAGTCGTCATCATCAACAGCATCATCATCATCATCATCATCATCAACATCATCATCATCATCATCGCCATCATCATCATCACCCGCATCATCATCATCATCATCATCAGCAGCAGCAGCATCATCATCATCATCGTCATCATCGCCACCATCTTCATAGTCATCATCGGCAACATCATCATCAGCATAGTCATCATCAGCGTCATCATCACCACCATCATCATCAGAAACATCACCACCAGCATCACCAGCATCGGCTTTATCAACCTCCTCCTCCTCATCATCATCGTCATCATCGCATCGTCATCATCATCATCAGAATCATCATTACCATCATCATCATCATCATCATCATCATCATCATCATCATCATCATCATCATCATCATCATCGTCAACCTCATCATCATTCCCAACTTCGTCAGTATCGTCCTCGTTATCATCATCGGCATCGCCTTCGTCACCAACTTCATCGGCATCGCTATGGTCATCATCATCGTCATCTTCATCCTCAGCATCTTCATGATTATCATGATCATCATGCTCATCATCTCCGTCACCACCACCATCTTCAATACGAGTTCCGTCGTCACCATCATCTTCACCTCCATTCCTTTTGATGATGCATAGTACCTCTAGGTCGCACCACCAGACTTGAAACCAGGCGTGTTGCCTGAGATCTGTCCGCCAACTACGATCGTGATGCTTGACAGCTCAACAGCCACACACACAAGGGAGGGCAATTCCTTTCAAGAATGAAGCCCCCGCCTCAGCGCCGCGCACATGTCCTACAACAGTGGCTGCACAACGGGTTTCTGGCTCGCCTCGCTAAATAATCATTGGCTGGCTGCTGCGAATGCCGCCTGGTGCCCGCCCCGTGCCAGCCTCGTGCCCGCCCCGCCGCGCGGGGTGGCGATCCCGGCCCTTCGCGCGGTGCCCGCCCCGCGCCCGCTGCGTGTCCGCCCCCGTGCGCTGACTTGCCATTCCGGCCTCCTCCTCCTCCTCCTCCTCCTCCTCCCTCCTCCTCCCTCCTCCTCCTCCTCCTCCTCCTCCTCCTCCTCCTCCTCCTCCTCCTCCTCCTCCTCCTCCTCCTCCTCCTCCTCCTCCTCCTCCTCCTCCTCCTCCTCCTCCTCCTCCGGTGCCCGCCTCGTGCCCGAGAGACGCATTGGCTGGCAGCTGGGCTCCTCCTTCTCTTGTTGCAAATGCGACCTTACCCCCCATGCCGCAGCAGGACTTCACTGATGCCCGCCGCACACTGCCTCTTTCCTTTCTGGTATGGACGACGGCGTTCTTCCACGATCTGGTGCAATCTTCCACCGTGCCGCCAGGCGTGAGATCCTCAACACTGACTATTGGATACAATTTTGGGGGCCTGGATGCCCAAGTCTCTCTCAGATAGACTGGGGTTGCTCGCGTGCCTTCTGGTGTTTCACGCGTGCCGCTTGGGGCGTGTCGCGTGAGTGCGTATCCCAGCGGGACTGTGGGGACTCGTTCGGGGATGGCTTGGAACGACAGCGTGTGTTCCAGCACCGCTGACGCATCCTGGGTCCACTCTGGTCTTCCTCCCCCTCCTCTTCCTCCTGCACCCGCCCTCCCCATCCTCCCCTGTCTCCCCATTCCACCTCCTGCGCTGTTCTCCTTATCCGCTTCCTCGCCCGAATCCTCCTCCGCCGACGACCAAGGCGGGGGCGAGCAGGACGAGGACGAGGGCAAACGCGACAAAAACGGGGACCAGAATCACGGCTACGACGACGACGACGACGAGGACTAGGTCTAGGACCACGAGGACCCAGTCGTCCGATGGTGTCTCCGAAGTCCAAGCCTTCCCCAGGACCCCTGTCATCCCAAAGCGTTTCTTGATGATCCCGGGGCCTGGCGAGGCCTTTGGGGCCGAAAGCGGCCACACATCTCCCGTCGTTCGTGGCGTCCCACACCGCGAACATGTTTGGAGATGCGGGCGGCGACGACGACGACGCCGCCGCCACCGACAACGACGACCACGACGACAACGACAACGAGGCCGACGACGCCGACGAGGAGGACGACGACGAGGACGAGGACGACGACGACAAAGACGACGAGGACGACGACGACGACGACGACGACGACGACGACGACGACGACAAGGACGACGTCGAGGACGACGAGGACGACGAGGACGACGAGCACGAGGTCGAGGACGAAGTCGCTGACCCCGCACGCCTTCTGCCGCCCTCTGGCCCTTCGCGGGCGGCGCGGCCTCTCCGGGGCCCTCCGCCTGCGCGCGGGCGCGGGGCCGAGGGACGTCGGGCGACGAGGGCGAGCACGAGAAGGAGGAGGGGAGGAGGGAGGAAGGGGGAGGAGGGGGGATGGAGGGGAGGGAGGGAGGAAGGGGGAGGGAGGAGGAGGAAGGGAGGAGGGAGGAAGGGGGAGGAGGGGGGAGGGGAGGGAGAGGGGAGGCGAGGAGCGAGGACCAGGGGCCGAGAAGGGGCGATGGCTCGACGCCACCTCTCTCTCGCCTCCCTCTCTCCATTCGGCGCCCGACGCCGGGAGGAAGGGCTGGCCGCCGGGAGGGTCGAGGGGTTTGGGGGGCCACATCGAGAACCGAAGTCGGGACGTCGGACGCCTCGGTCCTCGGCGTGCTCCTTGCCGCGGCTCCTGTCGCAGCGGCCACGGGGGGGGGGTCAGCCTGGGAACAGGAGCAGCAGCAGGCTGTCCCACGCAGCGGTCTGGTAAAATAACGTGGCTCTCGTCGGCTGCGCCGCCTGGCTAGGCCGATTGGGCCACAGCTCCGTCTCAAGCCTGCTCCTGCCTGGGGAGACCAGACGGACGAGGGACAGGAGGAGAGGGAGCGGCAGGTGGAGACGAATGAAGGGCGATGAGAAATACGAGGAGGAGGAGGAGGAGGAGGACGAGGAGGAGGAGGAGGAGGAGGAGGAGGAGAAAGCAAGAACGCCCCTGGCGACGCAGGCGACGAACAAGGGCCAGGGGAAGAAGGGCCGGGGCAGGCGGGCACACAGACATCCGACGTCAGGGACGTCTCGCGCTGTGGGCCCCTGGACCGCTCGGCACCCTCCCGAGGACAGGCTTTCTCGTCCCGCCTATGCCGATGCGTACGACATTTAGGAATGAAAAAACGCCCCATATCCTGGGTTACCAGTCCGTGGTCAGTAAACCTCCTGGGAACTCCCACTGGCCAGAGAGCCGCCAGGACGCCGCGCGGCACGCGCGATACGCAAGGTTTACCCAGTCAGACCACAGGAGGTTCAGCGCACAGCGCCTCATAAACCAGGGTAGGGGCGTTTTTATACGCCCTTAACGACAGGTATCCATCTTGAGCGCTGACGGCAGCCTTCGGCCTGATTGGGCGAGAGAGCTTTTCGGGATTCTCCCTGGTGCACAAGTAAAAATATAGAACCAATTGGGGATAGAATCTCTCCGTCTATAAATTTACATGGGGGGGAATCACTCCCGGCAACTTCCACGCAATTATGAACATCTCCCCGTGTGAAATTACACTCAATTAGCCTGGCGAAGAACCCAACCATATGCAGTTGTCAGTACCGCAGCTGCGGGTTTCATCTTCAGTGGAACTCCCCATAGGACTACGGAACGTGTGAGGGGTGTGTCGAGATGGGTGCCACTGGGGCATTCGGCGAAGCTCCCTATGGGGACATGAAACACGCGCGGGGCGTGCCGACATGGGTGGCGGAAACGCATGTGAGGGCCGCCACTGGGGCCTCCAGTGGAGCTCCCTATGGGTCCCCGAAACATGATGCTGCTGCGGGGGGGGTGCCGGGATGGGCGGCGGAGACGCATGTAAGCGCCGCTACTGGGGCCTTCGGTGGAGCTCCCTATGGGGCCACGAAGCGCGTGAGGGGTGTACTGGGATGTGTGGCGGGGACGCATGTGAGCGCCGCCACTGGGGCCTTCGGTGCAGCTCCCCTATGGGGCCACGAAACGTGTGAGGGGTGTGCCGAATTGGGTGCGGGTGGTGACGCATGCGGGCGGTGCCACTGGGGCCTTCGGTGGAGCTCCCTATGGGGCCACGAAACCTGTTGTTGTGAGGGGCGTGCCGGGATGGGTGGCGGGGACGCATGTGAGCGCGGCCGCTGGGGCCTTCGGTGGAGCTCCCTATGGGGCCACGAAACGTGTGAGGGGTGTGCCGAATTGGGTGGGTGTGGGTGACGCATGTGAGCGCCGCCACTGGGGCCTCCGGTGGATGATGGGGCCACGAAACCTGTGAGGGATGTGCCGAAATGGGTGTGCGGGACGCATGCGCATGTGAGCGCCGCCACTGGGGCCTTCGGTGGAGCTCCCTATGGGGCCACGAAACGTGTGAGGGGTGTGCCGAATTGGGCGTGCGTGACGCATGCGGGCGGCAGCACTGGGGCCTTCGGTGGAAGCTTCCTATGGGGCCACGAAACGTGTGAGGGGTGTGCCGAATTGGGTGTGCGGGACGCATGCGGGCGGCAGCACTGGGGCCTTCGGTGGGGCTCCCTATGGGGCCACGAAACGTGTGAGGGGTGTGCCGAATTGGGTGTGCGGACGCATGCGGGCGGCAGCTCTGGGGCCTTCGGTGGGCTCCCTATGGGGCCACGAAGCGTGTGAGGGGTGTGCCTGCGGGACGCATGCACTGGGGGGGCTCCCTATGGGGCCACGAAACGTGTGAGGGGTGTGCCGAATTGGGTGTGCGGGACGCATGCGGGCGGCAGCACTGGGGCCTTCGGTGGGGCTCCCTATGGGGCCACGAAACGTGTGAGGGGTGTGCCGAATTGGGTGTGCGGGACGCATGCGGGCGGCAGCACTGGGGCCTTCGGTGGGGCTCCCTATGGGGCCACGAATCGTGTGAGGGGTGTGCCGAATTGGGTGTGCGGGACGCATGCGGGCGGCAGCACTGCGGCCTTCGGTGGGGCTCCCTATGGGGCCACGAAACGTGTGAGGGGTGTGCCGAATTGGGTGTGCGGGACGCATGCGGGCGGCAGCACTGGGGCCTTCGGTGGGGCTCCCTATGGAGCCACGAAGCGTGTGAGGAGTGTCCCGAAATGGGTGTGCGGGACGCATGCGGACGGCAGCACTGGAGCCCTCGGTGGAGCTCCCTATGGGGCCACGAAACGTGTAAGGGGTGTCCCGACATGGGTGTGCGGGACGCATGCGGACGGCAGCACTGGAGCCCTCGGTGGAGCTCCCTATGGGGCCACGAAACGTGTGAGGGGTGTCCCGAAATGGGTGTGCGGGACGCATGCGGGCGGCAGCACTGGGGCCTTCGGTGGGGCTCCCTATGGGGCTACGAAACGTGTGAGGGGTGCGCCGTGAGCAGAGGCAACGAGGGAGAGGAGGGCGGAGGGAGGAGGCAGCGGGAGGGAGAAGGAGACGCGGGGCACCGTCTCTTCAAAACGAGGACCCAACAACACAGGTTGGTTGGGAAAAATCACTTGCACACTACTTCTCACCACAGCGCCCAGACATGTCAATTCTAGCCCAAATGAATCAACTCTCGTAGCTGGGATATCTGTGAATATACATATATGAAATATATGGCTTGTATGCCTGTGTTTATGTGTGTCTATGCGCTTGTGTGTATGTGTGCTCGTGTGGCTCCCAAGACGTCCATCGGCGCTTCCCTGGGCGCTTCACCTTCCGGCGCCCCTGGGTGCTTCACACAGCTCGGCGTCAGCTCGCTTCCTCGGGCGTGACTTCCGCGCGTGTGAGCGGCCTCTCCGCGCCCACCGCGGGCGCCCGACAACGGCGTGCACGGCCCCGGTGCCAGAAACGGGCCTCCACCGACGCCGAGCAGCAACAATAACACACACTTTTTGGGTCGGCGGGGCGAGAGCGAACCACTTCCGCTAAAAGCTAGGCGGGCTACGCACAGCTCTAATTGGGGAGACAGGGCACCATAAATAATAGCACACACACGCACACACACATGCGCTGCGCCAGCAACAGCGCGACGTCGGAGGCCTTTGGAGGCAGGGGCTCGGGCGCGGGCGGGGGGGGGGCCAAACTGCGGGCGATGTTTACATCCATATCCAGAGTGCTTGGACTTTTTGGGAAGGGGCGCCGCAAGGCAGAGGCGCACTGGATGTGGATACAAATCGAGCCTTTGGGGGCCAGACTTTTATCCACATCCAGTGCGCATCATGTTTCTGGGGAAGAAAGCCCAAAACTCCAAGACGCACTGGATGTGAATATAACTATTGCCCGCACAAACGGATACCAATGCCATTGCTCCTCAGATCTCTCGTCAGGCGCGTTCTGACCAGGACTTCGAGGCGAATCCAGCAGTGGCGACGAGGGACGGGCAGCGGCATCGGTACACATCGTTCGGAAGAAATCGGCAGAAGCATGAAGTAAGAAGGCGTCGGAAGTAGGTGGGGCTTCCGCCCGCCCCTGAAGAGGAAGGTAGGGGGGAAACCGCTCGAATCCTCGAATCCTGAAACGGAAAGGAGCTCATTGGAACCTGGGGATCAGACATACCGAGTTGCGCAGAACCCCGCACCTGCACATCAGAGTGCGAGGGGGCCGGCGCGGGCGAAACGTCCCCCCAGTGTAGCCTCCAAGTGAAGCCCCCAAGTGTGGCCCCCAATGTGCAGCCCCCAATGTGTCGCCCCCGAGCATAGCCCCCCAGGTGTGGCCTCCCATGTATAGCCCTGCAAGTGTGTAGCCCCCGATCTGCAGGCCGCAAAAGGCCGGGCCCTCCATCGGGCCACGAGCGCGCGGGGAGAGAGCAAGACCGTCCAGGGCCCTTCACCCTATCCCCACCAGTCATCGATTCTCCTGAAGCGATAGGGGGCGGGGGTAGGGTTCGGACTTCGCCACGCGCTCGACGAGTTCCGAACCCTAAGTACCCCGCCGCACATCGAGTTGCCTGAATCGTTGATCGGCCAGCGAGGGCAGGGCTCGGATTTCGCCGCCGACTCCACGAAAGATGGGCACCTTTCCTCATCCGAGGGAGCTCGCTGCTTTTCGCAAGGCGGGCGCCCCGCTGGCGGCGACGGCCGAGTCCAGGGCGGCCAGCAGCGCCGCGGGCGGCGGCGGCTGCGCCGCCGCCAACAACGCGGCGGGCGGCGGCTGCCCGGGGGGTCTCGGCGTAAGCCGCCCGGTGCCAGCTCTGGCGGCGGTCGCGCCGGAGGCAGCCAGCTCCGAGGGCGGCGGCCGCGCGGGGGGTCTCTGCACCAGGGCGGCGGCTGCGCCTGGAGGGCAGGATAGCCACCCTCACAGCAAGCACGCCGGCGGGCGAAGCCCTTCGGCAAAAGCGCAGGCCTCTTGGTAAAG